CATCCCTCACCCTCCAAATACTGAAAAATATAAGATTATACTAACAAATGGTTAAATGTGTGGTCCAGTGTAAATTCTGTAAGTCATTAGGAAAGGGGGAGTAAATGTTTCCTGGGAAGTTCATAGAGAGGACTGAACCATGGATGGGTGCACTGTAACAGAAGCCATGTCTCAGGTGGAAGAAGTCTAGGAGCAGAGCCAATCCGAAGTCTGGGACAGGGCACACTCTCTGCAGAGGAGTTGACCATGGGACAGTCAAGTCATGGGTTGCAGAAGTAGACTCAGGACACTCAACACACACAAGTGAGAGCCCTTTAATGCCATGACATTTGGCTGCGAATTCAAGAAGCCAGAGGTCTTCACACTAGAACAGAGACATGCAAAATGAAGCCATTCCTGCTTACAGTGTCTGTCAAGTGTCATATCTGTGACGATGATTTCAAATTCCTCTGTAGATTGTGCTCCGTGAAAATGGGAGGTGCCATTCACTCATCCACTGATTTGAACATTGCTAAGTATCTAAGCAAGGCAGAACACCCCATGCTGCAGTGTCTATCAAGAATAAGAGGTCCCATCCAGTCCCTCTGCCAGCAACACACACACACACACACACACACAAGAATAATGTTGGTTAACTAAGCTCCCTTCATGCCTCAGAGTCAGACCAGCTCAAACTGCATCTTCAACCTCTTCTTCTAAAGGGTCTCTGGTCTCCCAAATCTGCTAATGAATTGTGCTTTGCATTTTCTCCCTGTAAGAAAATCTCTCTCACTATCCAAAAGGCCAAGGAAAGGTATAAAGCAGGAAATCTTTGAGTGGGTAGGTAGATCAAGCTACAGACCTCAGATGGCTTGCCCATCTGCACCTATCCCTAAATGAACTGCCGGCCTCCAGGGATGGACCTTGTGTCTCTGTGTTAGGCTCTCTTGTACTTCTCTGTGGCTTTGACTCTGGTCGGTAGATCTCAGATCCCAGATAAATAGAATAAAAGTGCTTCCTGAGCTTTCTTGCCACTGGATCCACCAACCCCCAACTCCTAAACCCAACACAATTGGAGAAGGCACCACTCAGCTTTCATTCCCTGCCAATCAAAACACAAGTTCCAAATACTGCATTTCAGCCATCAGTAAATAGGGCCTCCAGATGAAGGCATTTGCTTTTCTTCTCACCTTGGAAACCACCACAGGCTCTGAGAAGCAGATCAGAGCCAATAACCTAGCCATCAGAGGACTCTTGGAGCAGACAAACAGCCTTGGCACACCCCTCCTCCCCTCATCCCCACTCCTGGCGGACAGTGACCAGGAGCAATTAGTGCCGTTGTGTCCCAATGTGTTTCCTAGCCATGTCTCAACTGAGACGCCTTTCCTTGTAATATTAATTAAAAACAGATTTTTTTGGCAAACCCCTGAAGAACGGTTTCTGCGGCAGTCTTCTTTATTAAGCCTCAGAGGAGGCGAAATGCATTAAGATATTGTGACCCTGGGACAGTGAAGCCTAGGCAATCCAGCCAAAAGCTGTTTGAAAAAAATCTGTTTGCAAGCCACGGTAAAGATGCTCCAGTGAGTGAAATACAATGAATCTGGTCAAATCTGTCACAATTTTTGAACATTAGGAGTAAATATTTTAGATAAAGGCTAGCTGCATTTCCTAAGGGAAATTCCCACCCCACCCCCCCTCGTATGTCTACTAAGCAGCTCCAGGTCTGGCAGAGACCTGCAGTGACCCAGCATCTCCTCATGTCTCTTCACGAAGGCTTCAGGTTGGGCACATTAATTGAAAACTACCTGCCAAGTCATCCCAAGCAGACACACCACAGAGGCAGCAGGATGCAGAGGCTCTGTGTGTCAGCTACTAAGGAGAAGTGGTGCCTGACCTAAGGGAGGATACAGATAGAGGTTCATCCAAGAGAAAAGAGGTAGGAGTGAGCTGGCTGTGCCTTCACAACTTCACACTCTGCAGGGCCATCTGCCAACTCACTGAGCAAGCAAAGAAGCCTCTTCCTCCATCTGAAGGAAACGGACAGAATAATATGTTTTCCTGTTTCTCTGTAAGCCACAGGGACTGGGTTCCCCAGGGTGTTTGTGAAACTCTCTCCAACCCATTAGTCGCTGGAGACAAGCAACAAGCAGGAACAAGGGCAAATCTCCTCCAGGGCAGTGGCACCAAGGCCATGGCTACCTACCTTACCCTAGCCAAGGCCGTGTGATCAGAGTCAGGCCCCACAACTTGATGTTCTGCTCCTCCTTTCTGCCTTGTCTGCTGGTACCTCATTCATCCTCCCTCACCCAAGCAAGCCCACCCTAGTTATTACACCAAAGTAAGCATCTGTCCCAGCAATCAGAATGGGGCCAAAGGTTTTGGGCATGTGAGCCAGCTATGAGCCCACTCCTGGGGACAGTTGGCTGTGCTCTTGGCTAGCTTCGCTGTCCAGCAAGAACACAGAAGCCCTGTCAGTGTATACAAAGATCTCTTCTTGGCCCTATGCTCCTGAAGTACACACTGAACCAGTAGGGCGGGCCTGAGGATGCCCAGCTTAGATATTTCTCACTGTAAACTCTACCAGAGTAGAGCTCAGTGGTCAGCGACTCACACCCACCACCACCAAAGAAATCCATATCGAGAGAGCTGAAGTTCACTACAGGCACTGGGGGGGGGGGGGAGAGAGAAAAATCCAAATTGCTAATACTGGTCAGAGGGCCTGTTTAATGCTTTGAAAGCCATAAGAAAAGGCGGACTTGTCTTTTAGGACAGAAGACCCCAATAAGATCCTGTGACATCTCTCTCCACATAGAAACAGTAGTAAAAAGACCTCCTCACCTTCTCTTCTTGCTGTTGGCAAAGGAGGAGTTAAAGCATACTGCTGAAGCTGCTCCTAGCAACTCTCCCAAAGAGTTCTCCCTCTTTATAGAGCATCCCAGGCTATGAACAAGCTGGTTCATAGATGGCTCAAATCTCTGTGCCCAACTGGTCTGCTACCCAGGACCTTTGTCCCTATATTGATTGAAGAGGCATTTCCCCAGTGGGCACAAGCCAGACCATCCCTCACTCAACCACCCTGATGCTGGACAGAGAAGGCTGTGCATATTTGCCTGTTTGTGAGAAGTACTTTCTCTCTAAAGTCCCATCTCCAGGGCCTTTGTCAATATTTTTAAATGACTCTTAAAATTAAAGCAGAAATGAAACACTTCCGGCTGAGTGAATTTAGTAAGAAAGCCATGCATATGTAAGTATATCCCCTCCTCAAGGAGGAGAAAACCAAGAACACTCCCCCACAATTCTTAATTATCAAACTTAAATGAAGTCGGAATTCACAAGCTCTGCTTCCAGAGAATTATCCCTTCTTCTCTCTCTCCCCTTCCCTCCTGCCTCTATCTCTATATCTTCTCCCCTCCATCCCTCCCCCTCTCCACACACAAACATCTCCCTGGGACTTGAAAGTAAGTCTTCTGTCACCCAGCCCTTCAAAGGTGCACCTCTGCTCAGCCTCCCCTCCAAAGAAGCTCTCCAATCCAAGACTTGGGGGTGGTGGAGCTATCTTGATGGAGATAGGCAGATGAAACCATTAGTCACTGAGCTGCCCTATGCATTTCCACTCTTCTCCTTACAACCCAGCATCTGGTACCCAGGTTTTGCTGCCCCAGCCCCACCCCACTGTGTATCACCGACAAGGGGTAAATCTGTACTTAGTTACTGCTTGCAATGAGCTCTGCAGCCCTTAGCTTCCTTATTATTCAATGCTCAGCCCCGTGACCCCCATGCTCCCGTAAAATAAGGCAAACATTTCCCCAGGAAGTCTTTTCAAAGGCCAGTCATGAAGGGACACACAAAAGAGGCAGCACTTCCCATTAAATGAGCTCTCAGAGCTGCTTGTGAATCCCTAGTCCTCTTAATGGAACCCCTGCTCAGCTCTAAGTCTGGTTCCCAAGTGAACTGGAAAGTCATACCAGAAAAGAAAAAAAAAAAAAAACATTTGGCAAGGCCAGGTGAAATAGCATAGTGATCACAAGAAGAGGTTTGGGGGGAGCTAGTTCTTGCTGGGGATATTGAGATAGAGTGAGCCCTGATAAGCCCTGCCCATCGCTGCCCAAATTCAGCTGGACACCCCATTCCTAAGTCCTGAAGCCTCTGGAGCTGGTTTAAGGAAGGTGCCACCTCTTAATGCAACAAAGTCTTCAGGGCCCAGATGACAAGGGGAAAGGAGACGAGGTATGTTGTGTTCAGGAAAGAGCAGGGTCTCAACTTTGATCCCAGAGTCTCTGAGTTCTTTGTGAATCAGGACACAGAGGCAAAAGTGAGTTTTCTGTTCCCTGGCTCGTGCGACGTGCGAGCAGCGCAAGCACGAGGATGAGCAATGGGGAAAAGGGTGTGGAAATTCGCTTCACGCCTTAAACTTTTTTCCTGCCTGCCCCCACTGGAAAGCCTTCCAGCTTGGATGATGCAGCCCCACAGCTCCCAGCCTGGCTAGAACGTCATGCGCCGAGCAGTGACCCCAAAATGAACAAGTGTTCTGCTGTCCCTCTGGCCTCAATCGCCCTATCTCTCTGGTTTCCTTCACGTGACCCCAGGGCAAAAAGGGAGCTCCTCCAGTCTCGGGAATTTGTCTAGAGATTTCTCCACATCAGCCCACGTTTACACTCACGAATTCAAGCACCCTTTCCCCAGAAAAGAAAAAGTCGCTCTCTGCAGACCTGAATGCGGGAGAGAGCAACCACAGATCCCTCACCCAGGCAGCTTTAAGACACACTTTCCTCTTAGCTCTCCAGACAGCCTCAATACTGGGGTCTTCAGTAAACAGATGCACACGCCATCTTACAACAAAACTCGGCTAACCTGTTGGGGGCGTGAAGTGGGCAGGACAAATCCCTCTCTAAAAGTCCAGTCATTCTGATTCTCCTTCTGGACCCTAAGAAACTATTTGCCCCTCGCCCCTGGCCCTTCGCCCGCGCCCCTTTACCCTTGGCTGTCAGGAAACTAGCGAACCGTGCCAGATGGGTACTCACACTGCTGTTGTGTCCCGACCAGTGCACCATGGCTTGGTTGTGAGCTGAGTCCCCGGTCAGTGCAAAAGACGTGCTGGGCAGCCGGAGCTCCTCAGTGGCCGCTGGTCCTCCAGTCCGCATCGCCTTCACCTCCTCCCGGGAACCTTTAGTGTGAGGACGGCTTCCTTTGGCACCATCTGCGGGAGCTGTAGCCCAAGCGTCCCCGCGCTCCAGGGTGCTAGGGGGCTGCGCCCGGCGAGTCCTCCTCGCGCTGCCCGCCTGGCTGGGAGCTGGGATGCCCCGGACCCATCTCGCGCCTTCAGGCGACGTTCCCGCAGCTTCAGTCGGTATCTCCCCGCGGCTCGCCTGGGACAGTAGCTCTAGCCTGGACCGGCGTCTCGGTGCAGCGGCTCTCCGTGCAGATGCCAGCTCCTCAGACCACCGGTTCTCCGCTGCCCGTGGCAAGAGAGGAGGCAACGCTGGTGGTCGCGAAGCCGGGGACACTAGGCGCCCGGGACCTCCCGTCGTGCCCCAAGTGATCTCGGCGCCGGCCAGGACCCACGTTGACAAAAGTAGCAGCCCCGTCCGGGCGAGGGGCGCCCCGGGCCAGCCTGCGGGGCGCTCAGTGCCTGCCGCCTCCATCCCGCTGCGGCTACCGCGGCTCGGGCTGCCGAGTGTGTGGCGCCCGCCGAGGTGCGGGTCCGGCGGAGGGGGGGCTGGGGGATGCGCGCGCCGGCAAGCGAGCTAGAGACTGTGTCAGGGGAGTGAGGAGGGGGCGGCCGGGAAGGAGGTGGCTCCGGCTGGAGCGCCTCGCCTGTCCCCTGCACTCTTCCCCCCTCTGGATTACTTGCTCCTAGGTCCAGAGGGCGATTCCAAAACCCAAAAGCAATTACTAAATGCTCCCTAGCTGCTCCGGCGGGTTTGATGCTGTTGTTGAAAAGCCCTCCTCCCAAATCTTTCCCACCGACCTCTTATAGAAATTTTAGGAAAAGGAGAGTTCAGAGGAAATAAGAAAATCCTCTTTTAAAACAAGCAGTGCTAGCCGGATCCTGGAGGAGGGGCTCACAGCAGACCCTAATCCGGAGTCTCTCGGAAATCCAACCTCCAGCCAGCTTCGGGCGCAGAGTTGGGAAGGCGCTCCTGGCTGCGTTTGGGGATTCACTCTTCGGGTCTGTTCTTGGGAGAGGAAGCCGGCGTGCGGGAAGTATAAGGTCTCCAGGAGGAGAAGGAGGAGTAAATTGTTTCCACTGCCAACTGTTCTCGAACGGGAGACCAGGGCCAGCCGGGAGCTTCCGCGCTGAAGCCAAGCGCGGGATGGACCCACGACTCTGCTCTAGGCTCCCCGCCCCCGGAGGCCTGCGCCCCCTCCTGGTGCGGGGGCGCGGGGAGTGCGTGCGTGCGCGTGCGTGCGCGCAGGCGAAGGGGGGAGAGAGGGAGAGGGAGACCAGGGTGTTCCGGGGCTGGCGGGAGGGTGCCTCGGGGTGTGGGGGGTACCTGATTGATCTGGTTTGTCGGGGGGAAGGGTGTTGCTGGGTGTGCGGGGGCGCGCGGCTCCGTGCGTGCGCGTTTACAAGAGCTTGTGTGAGACCGGGGCGGGGCGGAGTGCGAGGTGCGCTCCGGCCGCGGGTGCTCAAGGATTACGCATAGGCTGTTTGCACATCCAGAAGCCTGTGAGTGGTCAGAGGCAATGAGGAGAACAAGAGTGGCATCCCTCTTCCTGAGGCACCCACGGTCCCCCAGCACCTGTGGACGTTATCAGATTAAGCTGCCTGGAGGTCCGGAAAGCGAGCCGGAAAGCAGCAGGATGAGGGCTGACTTTCTGGGGACCCTACACTAGATGTGGGAGGACAGTAGTAGAGATTCTGCTCCCACCGGGGAGATCCAGGTCCTGTTTTTCTGCCAGGGACTGCTAAGATCTTGCCCTTCTGGCCCCCAGACGCGGTTCTGAGTAGGGCCAGTTGTCTCAAAGTGCCCACCACTATATGGAAGGTCCCCTGCCCAACGCAGCGTGGATTTTTCAGATCTCCTGTCCCCCGTCGCAGGAGGGTATGCGCGCCTGATGCGACTGGGACTCTTCCAGACAGCAGGAAGACGGAGACTTTGGTGAGCAGGAGAGAGGGAGCTAAGCTTAGGACCTGCTGGAGATGCAGCTTACAATCGTTAGGACAGGTGGCCTCCAGGAAACACCCGGAAAAGGATCAGGGTGGTGGGGCAAGGCTGAGTGAGGAGCACAGCCTCCAAGTTGTTCCTTCCTCTTCGGAATTAGAAGAGATTCTTTGTAGAAGGTGAAGGCTGGCGATGGAAGAGGAATTGTGGTTGGAGGTGTGAGTGAACAAAGCGGGGAAATGGAAGAGAGGATGGTGCGGGGAAAAAACACTAGGAACTCTGAGAACGCCCTGGGAAAGATCAGGTGTGCTGCGATGCGAAGGCGCCTGGTTCTGGGCCTGCGAGGGAAGGATGAAAGCCAGGGACTCCCGGGAGTCCTCACCTTTTGAACTTTCTTTCTCACCAAAGCTAAAATGAAGAGTGAGAGCAAAGGAGATGGCTAGGCTGGACAAAGAAGACAGAAACAATTCCCATCCAGAGTGAAATGGACCTGGTATTCGTGGATTTTCCCAGATGCGGGGCAGCATGCTGATGTGAGAAAAGTTGCGAAGCTACGGGTCCAGGTGGACGCTGGAATCAGAGCTGGGAGAGAATGGGCTATCCGTTGGTGCCCAGCGCCCCTAGCGGAGAAGGCTGGGAGCTGCAACCGCAACCTAGTGAGGTTTACCTCCTCTGATCTTTAGGCAGAGATGCGGTGATTTAAAGGATCAGTCTGTCAGTTCACCTCTGAATAGAAGTCTCCCCACAAGGGAGGTGCTGGCCAGTTTCCGCGCCACTGTCTCTACCCTCAACACATACACACCACACATACACAAGGAAAGCAATCTCCGAACGCCTAAGAGAGGTTACCTTTCTCTTCAGGAACATCTACCCCTGTCATTCCCAAGAGAGATCTTCCAGGCTGACTGAGCAGCTAAAATGTTGAGGGCAAAGGTGTACAGAAGCTTCTCATGGGGGTGACAGTTCTTACTGTGACAAAGTCTCTCCCAGTAAAGTTTTTCTCTGGTTTGCAAACATGTTAGGACACCCCCACTGCCCCCTATCCCAGGCTGACTTCAATTACATTCGATCAGCTTCTCCTGTCACTGATGAGTAAGCACATTATAAAGAAAATGTTTGTTTTGGCTCACAGTTCTAGGAATAGTGGAGGTCAAGATTGGACAACCACATATGCCGAGGTGACCATTCCTGTCACAGCATGAAGGGTGCCATCACAGGTAGGAGTGCATGTGAGTGACACAAAAGAGATCGCTGGCTTCACAACAACCCATCATCTCAAGTATTAATCTAGTTCCTGCAAGATCTAGAACTCTCTCAAAACTGCATTAGTTATAAGGCTGATAGTCCCACTGCCCCCACTTTATTCTAGCAGGGAACTAAGACTTTGCATGAGTTTTGGAAGGAAGAATCACATTCAAACCAGAGGATCTGAGTGCCTATGCTATAGAGTACATACATCAAGACCCTGCAAGATCTTAGTTATGTAAACACACGCCATGTGACCTTAACACTTACACCTAACTCTTAACACTTGTCAGTTCCAACCTAAAGTGGCTTCGCCTGGTCTCTCGAGTTCACACACTGTGGTGATTCTAACCCACAGCGTCACTTGTCTGAGAGTTGACGTAGCCGCCTATCATTTCTTCAAGTCTTCCCTTCTCAGAGCCAGCCAGAATAAGGCAGCAACAAGATATGAAACTCTTGAGTAATTGTAGTGAAATTGTTTTTAAATTTTAATGTGTCAAATTTGTCAAACATCTACATGTCCACTTATGACAGCGTTGAAGTTGTTAAAACGTTTTTACATGTTTTGTACCAGGTCTTCACAACCAAATTCATATTTTACCCTTATAGAAGAATTCAGACTACCTACATTTTGAATGTTTAATTATCATATGTAACTGGTGGCTACTGTTTTTAAACACTATAGCTTCAGACACAACTTGTTATGCGTGAGGAAGATGATGTTACGAATTGACCCCAAAGTTCTTGAGTGATAAGTCACTATACATTTCTTAGAATGGAATTCAAAGTTGTGTGCACTGTTCCATCTTCATGACCCTTCTTACTGTGTCCCTTAAGGCTAGATTATACCTTCTGCTGTGGTTTTACTGTAGTTTCTTGTCTGCCCCAGTCCCATAGTATCCACCACTGGATACATAATCATGATAATCATGTCAGCATCTTCACCAAACTCTTTGTTTTCTTACCTTGTCCCTTTGAAATTCAAAGAAAAGGACTGTGGTCTAAAAGTCCCCGTCTCTTTTGTTGACATAATGCCTGGTTCAGCTGAAAAGAACAGGTTTATAGATAAGACAAACCCTCCCCTTTAACCCAAGGGAAAAGCAAAGGAGGTCACATAGAGAAAGGATTTTGTCACCAGACCTTCTGTTCCTATTGTAGAAAACTAGAGAAAGCAAATTATACTTTAAGTTAGCCATGAGATTAGGCTGAAAGTCTCTCTAATCAGTCCTGGATATTTTTTGTTGTTGTTTTTTACTAACCATTACAGTACACTCACACATTGATAAAGTGCTCTGCTCCCTTTTGAACACCCACTGCAGGTACATATAAGGAAGTATTTCACTTATGTTCCCGTAATCAAATAGTCAGTACTCCTTTTATGAAGACTGTAATGATTTCAATGAGAAATGTCCCCCATAGGCTCAGGTATTTGAACACCTGGTCTCCAAGCGGTGGCGTTGTTTGGGGATATTTAGGATGTCTGGCCCTCCTGTAATAAGAATATGAGCACATCTGTAGACAGATGTGAGCACTCATAGCCTTGACCCACTTCCAATTCACCTTCTGCTTTCCACTTGTGGTTGAAGATACGATCTCTCTGCTTCCTGCTACTGCCGCCGTGCCTGACACTGACTACTATGCTGCCTGACCATGATGAACTCTTCTCCTACGAAAACCATAAGCAAGAATAAACTCTTCCTTCCATAAGTTGTTTTTGGACCCAGTATTTTTATCACAACCACAGAAAAGTAACCAAGATGAACTTGTCACCGCAAATTCTCATCCAAAGACTTAGGGCCAGGAATGTGGGCTTCTCCCCTGTACTGCAGCCTTTCTGGAGCGCTTTCTTGAACTGGCTCGTCTTCTCACTCTGTCACCTTCTTGACCTGACGAGCGGAATGCCAAGGTCTCCTGCTCTAATGGACTTCTGGACAGAATTTGTGTTCCCTTTCACTAAATGCTGCTTGATTTTATTGTTTAATGGTCTCTGAACTTTACACGTGTTTATTTTGGGTAAGTTATTTCATGACCTTTGTACAATTAAGAAAAGTTAATTAACATCAAAATAACCATCAGTATTGTAACTCTGAACTTCTTTGGGGGAAACATTCATAAACAAAGTCGGAACTCCAGACAGATACTGCTAAATGACCACTAAAGTCAGGATTCCCTGACACTCTGTGCCTATGAAGACAATTAGTGACTATTTTTGCTCAATATTGTATCCCCAACTTTAGTCTAGTCTCCATACTGTGCTGACCTGGTGCCTGGCTCAGACTGACCTGCAATAA